AAAATACACATTGCCTCCTATTAGTCAAATAACTTTTAAACCAATGTACAGTCTGAGAAGTAAATTTATAACATTTAAATTTTTCCAGCAATATTTATGATCCAATACATCAAAATCAGAGCTAAAATCTAACAATGCTGCTCCTACTAAATTATTATCATCAATCTGTACTAAACAATCATCTGTCATCTGTGCTAATGCTGTTCCTGTTGAATGTCCTTCTTGATATGCATGCTCAGAATCAAAGAGTAAATTATTCTCCTTAAAGATGAATTAAATTTGTTCACAGACTATCGTTTCAAACACTTTACTAAGAACTGGCAGTAAACTTATTGGTCGACTATTAGCACCATTAACACTCAGTGCTGCATTTTTCTGTAGAGGAATAACCTTTGCTTCTTTCCAAGCTAAAGGAAAGATCCATTTTTTTTTAATACTGATATTACAGATGTGGCAAACTGGTTCCGCCAAACAGCTGGCTGCTAATTTTACAAGACTGCCATCTAAGTTATCCATTCCCGATGGTTTATCTATATTTATGGTTGATAATTTTTGTTCCACTTGTTGTACATTTACTTTGTTCAATTCAAAGCAGAGGGCTGGCTTATCACTTATAATTTTTTCAATTTGACTTTCACTTGATGGAATATTATCAGTTAACATTTCTTCTCTTAGTTTATGTATTTTATTTTCAAGTACATTATTTTCTTTAGGGTTCAAGCTGGTTTCAATTGAGAATACTCAGTTTCAATTGAGTTTACTCTCAATTGCTGTTTATGAACAGTGTTGATTTATAGGACTCATTTAAGCTAAGGTTTTTTTTTTGTTTGTTTTTTTTAACTCACGGTGTACACTACAGTTTTCAGGCGCACGGCATCCCAGACACCAATATTTTAACGTTTCGTAAAAAATGAATCACTGAGATTTTGCTATGGAGATAAAGGTTAGGATCATGACTTTTTGGTAGTACTACAACATATTGTGAGTGTATATTAGCACAGTTTGTTGTTTACTTTTAGGATCTGAACTGAACGTTTGAACCTAGAAACAGTGGTACATGACTTTATATAACACTCCTGCTTCATAACACTGTAACCACAGTAGACTTGTGCCGGTATTCGGTAATGCGATATATCACGGTAATGTGTAATCGGACCCAGAGCGCGGTAATGATTGCTCTCTGTCACTCTCGCTGACTGATGGAAAAACTCTGACAGTCCAGGCACATCGAGATGCGCCCGCAAAACTGACTCCTGCTGTGATGAAACATGACAAAGGGGGAATTTACTCATTTGTTATCCTCCTGGAAGGCAGACAAAACAATGAGAGACATTATGGAAATCAGCACGACAGCACACGTCACCCTCGACCTGCCCTGACTGCGGCTCTGCGCTCAGTATGGGCTTATCTTTGTCTCAACTGTCAGCGCAGTCATTGCTATTCTTAGCGTAATCAGTAGAAACAGTCCGAATGGAAATAGACCAGTTGCCCTGACATTAAAGCCTACTTGGTGATACAGCGTAAAGAAATATAGCAGTGATGTGTGTAATAAAGAAGGAAGAGCCATATTTTACAAAGGCAGTGAAATGTATTGTGACATTAAAGGGATAGTTTACCCAAAAATGTAAATTTTGTCATCTTTTACTCACCTTTGTGTCGTTCCAAGCATGTATGACTACCTCTTTAGAAATAAAACAAGATAATGGGTCCTAAACAGCATTGGGTTCCAGAAATATAGCTGCAATTTCTGTGCTTCCCAAAACCATAATTTATAGAAACCATAACCACCAAGTAGTACGGTTTTGTTAATTCAATCTTTAATCTACACATTAAAAATGGTTCCATATTGTTAAAATAGCATAGTTTGAATGTCACTACTACGGTTTGAGGAAACAGTTGTGACTATATACAGTAGCTGTATGAGACATGCGTCCCAGGTTTGGCATGACATGAGGGTGAGTAAATGACAAAATTTTTTTTTTTTGGGTGAACTTACCATTCTGAATCCAAAACTGCTTGTATTTGGTCCTCTAAACCATCCAAGTGCAGGTTTTTTTTTCTGTCCTTGTCCAGTCTCTCTGATATGATTTGTTGTATTTTTAGCGTGCTGTTGGCTCAAGTGTCATTTGTCTTCAAATGTGGTCAACAGAATGCCTTTATTAGAGAATGTCACGCTTTAACAACAAGCAATCACTCAAACCCCTCTTAAAGAGTGTTGCAAGACCCTCAGCTTTTGTCATTTAGTAGCAATCAGTGCAAGCGTTGCCCCCTCTGTGCTAAAGTCAACAATATCACCAGATGCAATTTCCAGGAAGAGCTATGGCTGAGTGATATTGAGTCTGCATGACCAAAATCCATCTCTCTCACACTTTCTTTTTTGAGTATGTTTGTGTTTTTCTGGGAAAAAAACAAAATGGCTGAGAAGCATAATATGGTTGTCGGTCCTGTTTTAAAGCTAAATATGTTTCTGTTCACACACAGTTCAGATATAAACAGGATTCTATAACCAAACTGACTTTTAATTTCTAACTGCTTGATTTGTGATGATGTGCATCAGCATGTTCCAATATACTCAAATCCAATTAGAACAAATATTTAATTGGAGCTAATTACATATGAGTGTGGAGAACAAACACCTCCACACCCTTCCTCTCTCCCTTTCCATTTTTGTCCGTAATGTGCAATTTTAGTGTGGATTTTTTCTTTAATATCAGTCGTTTTTCCATTTCCAAGTTTATCTCTATGCCTCTGGGGGCTCTGAAAAGGTTGACTCATTTCAATTAAAATAATACGCCTACATGATAACAAGAAAAAGTCCTTCCGCGCCAAATCGCAGTCATCTTAATGAAGGGGGTTGTGTTTTTTAGGGTAGGGACGGCACAGACTGAATGTTAACATGTCTCTTTTGTGTCTCTGTCGGTCACCTGTTTTGTCCTGTCTTTGACTCCTGTCTTTAGTCTTTTCTGTTTGTCAGTTACTTTTACGCATTGCCTTTATGCTGTCTACAGCGTTTTTTTTGTTGTTTCACTGTTTTATCTCAATCGTTTTGCTTTCTGTCTGGTGTTGTATATCCTGTTCTGTACCTTTTTAAATATTTTTTTTGCCTATTTTTTGTACTATTTTATATATACTATAGTGTCTTGATACACCTAATACAGTATTCACCCATTAGCCTGTTTGGCTCGTTCACTGAAGTCTGTGAAGCTTAATGGAGATGCACGCACTCGAGGATGATTTTATGCTAAATTGAAATGCAAGTTACTTTTTAATATTTACAAATAAGGAATAAGTGACAGGTCTCAAATGCATTAAACAGCACAAATATCTATGAGTTTGAAACACTTAATGTAAAGCATGTCTCATGTTTAGGACAACTTGGATCATACTACACCCCATACTATATCCAGGTAATATATAGTCTATAGCATTTTCTATACCATTTATCTTTATAATAAATGTTGTATAACCTATACCTATTCTTTACCCCAGTGGTTCTCAAGCTGTGGTACATGTATCATTGGTGGTACACAGAGTTCCCCCAAGTGGTACTTCGCATTAAAAGTAAAAAAAAAAATATATATATATATATATATACATATACATATACAGCGGGTAAAATAAGTATTGAACACATCACCATTTTTCTCAGTAAATATATTTCTAAAGGTGCTGCTACCCAGGGAAAAAGTATTGAACACGCTTACTGAAATTTATTTAATACTTTGTACAAAAGCCTTTGTTGGTAATGACAGCTTCAAGATGCCTCCTGTATGGAGAAACTAGTGGCATGCATTTCTCAGGTGTGATTTTGGCTCATTCTTCCACACAAACAGTCTTCAATTCTTGAAGGTTCCACGGGCCTCTTCTATGAACTCTAATCTTTAGTTCTTTCCATAGATTTTCTATTGGATTCAAGTCAGGTGATTGGCTGGCCATTCAGATTATGGCCCCTACAATGCTCACTGGAACATTCAGAAGTATATAAATCCTTCTGTAACCAATGCCATTAGTATATTTTGCAACAATAAGGTTGCGAAGGTCTTGAGAAAGCTCTTTGGTTTTACCCATCATGAAATGTTTCTTGTGTGACACGTTGGTCATGAGACACCTTTTTACAGGCCATCAGTTGGGACTGAACCAACTAATATTAATTTCCACTGACTAGGGGCAGGATTGCTTTCTAATTACTGATAGATTTCAGCTGGTGTCTTGGCTTTCCATGCCTTTTTGCACCTCCCTTTCTTCATGTGTTCAATACTTTTTCCCTGTGTCATTCTACTTTATTACACAGAACTTAATTTCTGAACTTATTTGTTTTGCTTTCTTTGTATGTATGGTTACTTGGATTGCTACCAACATCTGGTATGTCAATTCATGTCAACAGCACCTTTAGAAATATATTTACTGAGAAAAATGGTGATGTTCAATACTTATTTTACCCACTGTATATATATAGTATAGTATAGTATATATAGAGTATATAATTTTTTTCTTAAATTTTTCATTTCTAGCAATACTTATTTTACCCGCTGTATATATATAGTATAGTATAGTATATATAGAGTATATAATTTTTTTCTTAAATTTTTCATTTCTAGTTTGTGATTTATTTACAGGCATGATATGGCTTTGTTCTTCTAAGTCACTATTAGATACTCCTTATTATTTTGGGATGTCAAGCTGCGCACTGGTGTTTATGTACTGATAAGGACCACTTGCATCAGAGTATACACAGTATAATTTTAATCCACATGCAAAAAAGAGCAGCGAAAATTGAGCCAGCCGATATTAAAGGCAAGATATTAATCTATTTGACCTCAAGGCTGGTTTCATGAAGACAAACTCTAAGAGTGGTCTGCTTTTGATTCCAAAACTTTTCTTTACTCTATATACTGTTTATATATAGCCTATTGACTGTCACGGGAATAAACCTGTTGTCGGTCTTTGAAAATGATCAGGATTTGACAAGATCTCTCCGATGGTCTCTTTTGTTCTCTTAGTATATGTGCGGTTTAACTCCAGACATGGATTCCCGGTGGAACTGGAACAAGGTGCGAGTGTAGCTGAGCTGAAAGAGACGGTGGGACGTTTACAGGGAGTACAGCCTGATCGACTGCGGGTCATCTTTGCTGGACGAGAGCTCTGCAATGAATCCACACTTCAGGTGAAAAGAGTACTTATGGAAATATTATACTTTAAAATAATATAAGTTTGAAATAAATGTTTTCATACACTTGCATGATAGTTGTAATTAAATTAAAAGTGTTATTGTTAAAATTTATAAAGTCAACTCAAGTCACTTTATTTATATAGCGCTTTTTACAATACAGATTGTGTCAAAGCAACTTTACAGTATTAAATAGGAAAATAGTGTGTCAAAAAGGACAATAGTAAACACTCAATTTTCAGTTAAAGGGGTCATATGATGCGATTTCAATTTTTCCTTTCTCTTTGGAGTGTTACAAGCTCTTGATGCATAAAGAAGATCTGTAAAGTTGCAAAGACTAAAGTCTCAAATCCAAAGAGATATTCTTTATAAAAGTTAAGAGTCAACCATGCCTACCTAAAACGGCTCGTTCTAAATCCAAAGAGATATTCTTTATAAAAATTAAGATTCAACCACGCCTACCTAAAGCGGCTCGTTCTAACACGCCCCCACATGTCTACGTCACTATGTGGGAAGATTTGCATAACGCCGTCCAAATGTTCATGCAAAGAAAGAAGGTGTAACTTTTATTCTCGCTGTTGCCGCCGCCATGTTGTGGAGATGCTGTGTTTCGTTGTGAAAGCGAAACTACTTTGTTTGGCCTTCCAAAAGAGGACGATATCCGCTTTGTCATGCCTGGAGCTGATCGGTGCTGGCCGCTGAGGAAATACATAAACTTCGCACTGTGGATCGCTGGATTGGCTTTCACCATGGACGAAGCGGAGTCCAGCACGGGGTCGTCACATGTGGTTGCCACAAGCCCGCCCGCCGCCGCTCACTCTAGGCCTCCGGCCTCCGCTCACTCTAGCCCGCCGTGTGTGACGCTGTGTTTCGTTGTGAAAGCGAAACTACTTTGTTTGGCCTTCCAAAAGAGGACACGACTAGAAATCAGTGGTTTTTTTACACACTTAAGTAGGTCTTAATACATCTTTATGTAAATTACTGCTATCGCATTTGAAACATGGTTAAAGTTTACTGCCAAATGTAATGTCAAGCATTTATGGTAAACTAAAATATATGTCAGTGTCATTTCTATTCTATTTTCTATTAACTTTAAATGTAATATTGAATAACACTAGACTACAGTTAAAATTATAATCATGTGCAGGGCATGTGATTAACCATTGGGCTAGGCGGGGCTGAAGCCCCGGGGCCCGAGCAAGGAGGGGGCCCGTGATTGGCTGTGGAGTAGCTTGACGGACATCAGTAGCGCCGATCGCCCCTCACTTTTTAGCTCTATTATTTAGTGGAGTTTTTCCGTAAATTCCATGCATTACCATTAGAGATTAAAATGTCACATTTGAATTTGGTTTACCAATCAAATGCATTTATTATATATTTTACTTTTGAACAAACTGTGCACGTAGCCTATCTATCAGGTGATCGCTGCGCCTAATGTCTGCATTTACCTCTCTAGAAATGGTCATGCAAAGAACAATCTTTGATAAGTAAAAACGTCAACTATTCTAAAAAAAAAAAATAGCGAGAGAAAAAACTGAGGAGAGCGGCAGGGCTGTGCTACGAAAAAACTGGTCTGTGCGATGAATAAATTTACCACTGTAGCACGCGTGCGATACAGATTTGCATGTTCATAGCACAGCCACTTAATAGTGTGAAGTGATTTCGTTGTGCTTGTTTATGTGTGTGAGATTGATTACAGCCTACTTGGTAGTTAGGGGTGTGTGAAATGATTATTAAAATGTCTCCACGATCTACTTTTGAAGAAATGTCATAGTATCATGCTACAGCGCACATTCTATCAGATGCAGTTCTGGCGCCTCCATCACAATATAGGCTACTGTAGCCTAGTGCAACGCGACACATCCATATCTAATGTTAACTTAGAAGTAGAGTTACACTCACAGGACACAGCACTTATTCGCAATCACAAAAGTACATTATTTGCATCTGCTTCAAAGGTTACACATTCCTTTCACCCGCTGTTCTGACGTGTGCTTTTTATAAGAGCGTACACCTGAATCGCTCGCAAACTACGAACCTGTTAAACAGCACCTGATTACTAGACTAAGTTGTATTTCGCGACTGACTGATTTTGCATCTAATACTGTCAAAACACACAAGGTTTACATATAAACACAATTAGTTATGTCTAAAATGATAGTGAACAATTGAGAGAGAAATGGATGCGTGCAGCTCTTAAAGCAACAGAACTAAACATGCTGCCGCTTGCCATTAAAGGAATAGTTCACCCAAAAATTTCATTTCTGTCATTTATTTACTCACTCACATGTTGTCCCAAACCTGTATTAATTTCTTTCTTGTGCTGAACAAGAAAAGAATTTGGGTAACCAAACAGTAGCTGGTCCCCACTGACTTTGACAGTAGGGGGGAAAATGGAAGTCACATAGGAACCAGCAACTGTTTGATTACATCTTTAAAATAACTTTTACGTTCAACAGAAGAAAGAAACTAATTCAGGTTTAAAACAACTTGAGACTGAGTAAATTATGGTATAAAAAATAAAACACTATGACAGAATTGACAGACAACAGAATTTTCATTTTGGGTGAACTATCCCTTCAATATTAATAAAACAACAAAACACAGAGAAAAATCATTGCTCTTGACTGATGAACTTTAATACAGTTGCCTTAAAAAAAAAAAAAAAAGGATAACTGATGTATATAGTGATTTCGGGCCCGAGTGGAAAAAGGATTTCCCTTGGTTAATTTTCGATGCTGACCAACAGCTCTTGTTTAGAGGAATTCAATCCAAATGGTGTAGCAGCTAAATGGATGACCTCTTCTAAAAGGGCCAGGAGACCAAATACAAAAGAGTTGGCCAGCAGACATGCTAGAACTGTTGCTAGAACAACTGTTGAGCGCATTAGTCTCATAGAGGAGTGTCATGGTATAGGTTAGTTTGCTAGTTTGCAAATTTAGTGTTTTATTTAGAGTTTTTATTTAGTGATGTCCGCCTACAGATCTGTTCTACTTTGATGTGTAGTGTTGAGGTGTTATGTTTCTGCACTCTTCCATTTTTAGCAAATAAAGAAAAATTTTGTCTAAAAACAATTTTTGTGATGGTTTGTATTTTTTTGTGCTATGGAACATCAATGCCTGTTTAAAGGCACAATATGTACGATTTTTTTTAATTAAAATATCCAAAAACCACTAGAACAGTGTTATTTAAAACAGCGCTGTTTTTTCAGCGCTGCTTTCGAGCCGTGTGTAACGCTCGTTCAGCGGCCTCGTTTCGCTTCGACGGCTTTCAGCCTCACCCTGCTTCATTCTACTACGTTAACAAATCATTAGCTCATCCATGAACATGATTTCTGCTCGAGTACCGTCGGTTTGCATCGGCTGTGGGGATGAAGACCACAACTCCCATGATTCCACACTCAGTCACGGCGTCATCAAACTATGCCTTTGCCTCTTTGATTATTTTGAATACGCGCCCTCTAGCGGGCGAAAATTACACATCGTGCCTTTAAGTGATGAACTCCATTACTTGTTTTCAGTACTTGTTTGTTTTTAGACATGATAACAGACGTTTTATACTTGTGCTACAACTGTTTGGCCTGTGCTACAAAACTTTCAACCTCTGTAGCACCAGTGCTATGTGCAAACAAAGTTATAGTAACTAGTAAATGCTGTAAATTTGGTTATGCTAGCATCTGTGGACATATTTAAACCACGTGCGTTACAACTTACCCCGCGTTACTTTGTGCCCCGCGCTCCCCTAAACTTTTCATTTAAATGCATTTTAAGCATTTTGGTTTAAAAACTAATTTAACTGTTCAGGGACATTAAGCATTAGGGCAGAATTCATTTTGGCAAATGCGCGCGTTAAGATGGTTTCTGATACGCGCGGAGCGCACTTGCTCGTACAGCACTTGACTAAACTAAGAGTTATTTTTCGTGCCTTGTGTTTAAACGTTCGAATACACATAGTTATGTGTCAAAATGCCTGTCTCCTCGTCAACAGGAACGTTAATAGTTAAAGATAAAGCATGTGCACTAGTTGGCTATTATGCGATCCTGGCATTATATGATGAGATTTTAAAGGGATAT